TCCCAGGGGTCGTTTCTAGGGACAGGCTGATCTGGTGCCCCGTAAATCTGGTTATGATTTCGATCTGTGGTATAGTTTGTATTCACTATTGCCTGCAATCGAATGACGAATGACTTTTAATGTGCTTGCTGAAGTTTACCTGCCTGGCAAGCCCGCTAGAGTGCTTGGATAAACACGCAGTGCTTCTGTCACTGCCTTGTTATTCTGTGCTTCGTTTCTGTCCAAAGCAAACAGTCCCGAGCCTTAAACATAGGCCCCTGGGTCCAAAAAGACACACCAGGTGCCACGTAGAGAGGGTCTGTTGAAAAACTGATAAAATACGCAGCGGTTATAAGTAGTGTCTATCGCCATAATGCGTAATTTATCCCCTCAACTCCCAATCTTGGGTAGGACAGGGGAATCTCAAGCCGGAGCTTCGACTGAAACCTACTCATAACTGTCAAAAAGGCTGGACTGCGCGAGAATATTGGTGATGACGCTCGCCAGGGGTTGGGTGGAAAGCAATCCAAACTAGCCTCCAGGTGTCGGCGCTCAGTTGGCCTTTTGCTCAAACACGTACATACCAATGGGGCTAGACTGCTTTTATTCAAGGTAATGATCCGCCCAGTACTTGAATATGGCACAACCATCTTCAGCAATATGTATGCTTCGGATAGGATACTAATTGAGAATGTTCAAAGAAAGTTTACCCGCTGTGTGCTGGGCCGTCACGAAGAACTTGATTATGGGGGAAGGTGTAAGAAATTAAAAATTGACTCACTTTGGCTATGACGCCTCAAGCTCAACCTTAGCCTATTTTTCCGCCTTTTGTATGGCATTACTCACGCCTGTTGCGCTCCTACTTTTAAGCCTATATCTTCATATAGTCTACGCAATCGTGAATGCACTGTACCTGTAGAAAAGCACCGCCTTAAACTTAGGTCACGATCCTTTATGTTACAGTACAGCAAGTTATGGAATAAGCTTCACATTTTATTCGCTCTTGCATGTCTGCATTTCAGTTTCACGTCTACTCAACGAATTCTTCCTTTCCACGGATATCCATAAATTTCTTGACATTCATATTATATCCACAAATACGAAGTATAATGGAGCAATCGGCACATAACAATGGTCAAGCCATTGCGTCCACTGTGAACGTACCCAGACCTCTAAGTTTAAGAATCGGTTTTATTAAAGCCCTGAAGTTCGTTTAATGCAGATGGCCTCACGATTGCATACCAGGGTGTGAATACCGGCTCCTCTCCGTATAATGAACTTAAAGAATACTGTTTATTACTGAAAGCCACTACGGTACACCCTCCCTCCCAAAAAAACGACTTAGTAACCCTATAATGGAAGGACTATGTAGTTGACTTGACATATATACATGAAAATGTACATCAAGTCCGAACAAATCAAAAACAGGATAGAGACTCCTCTCTTCTCCAAATTTGATAGCGTAGTAATCTCTATTTCCATATCTGCTCGTGCCTCTCCTTTCTCTCCCAATTTGCAGAAGCAGCTGCAAGTCGACATTTGATGTTCAAGTTCAGTCTGTACATCATTACTTTATGGGAATAACACCTGCTCATTGACGCCAATAATTATTGGACTGCTCCCACTCTTTCGCAAATTCTGGACCATCTTCAAGATTAACTCACTTACTGGTCGTGAATTTTCTTGCGACGAACCGTCTGACCATTCCCAACAGTATTGGTAGTACAGGCATTCTGAACAGATGATTAAACCAGAGGCCAATAATATATTGACTCAGGACGTCACTTACCTGCAATGGCTCCACACTAGACATTTTCTAGTACTCTGTACCAAGAGACCTTTTCATATGGAACTTACTACGCACCTTTTTACCAGGGACCATTTGCTGGTAGAAAATGTACAGTTTCAAATCCCCCTGTCAGCAGCGATCACTTCGTGGCAGTGTTCGGTCTGATTCTCAACGAACAACTGTCATGGGAGGGATCTCGCCCTCGTCTTTGCTACAGGAAGATTAACCACGTGGCAATGAACCAGTACCTGTCGACAGCACCATGGCCTCAGGAGTGGAGCAACCTGTCGACTGATCAACATTGGGAACTAGTCAGAGACATTATCAAGAGAGCCACCGCTGAAAACGTCCCTGTAATCACAGGAATACCGCGGAAGCAAACTTCATGGCTGAAGCGAGGCACTGAACACCTTTTGAAGGCCAAGAGGAAGGCATAGCATAAGTGGATGGCCTCCAGAAAAGAGTCTGGCCACACCTCATATATGGCCCTAAGAAATCGATGTGACGTCAGGGTGAGGGAAGACAGGAGGTCGCTCCAAACGAACCTTGCCCAGAAGCTCGAAGAGAATTCCAAAAACCTATATCTATTTATGGCAGGTAGAAAATCTACCAGCCAAGGGGCCTGCTTACTGAAAAACCTAGACGGAGAGAACATCTCCGGACTAGAGACCATCGAAGACTTTGGCGCCACCTTCGATACTCAACTGAGTACGTCTCTATCGAACGAAAACTGCCAACTCTTCAACCAACATTCAGAATCACTAAATGCAGTAGAGTTACCTAGAATAAAGGTAACTGCAGCTATGGTCCTCGAAAAGCTATCAAAGCTGTGCTCAAGGAGGTCATCAGGGTGCGATGACATCCGACTGGCTGTATTGAAACAATACACGGGTGCTCCGCGCTGTCCGCTGTGTGGACTGTTTTGACACTCCCTAGACAATCACTTGCTTCCACGAGAGTGAAAAACTGGTATTCTATCCCTCATCTTCGAAGGAGGAAACAGGCAGAGTTCAAAATGCTATCAACCCATAGACCCTCCACCATTGGTGTCAAAAGTAATAGACAGCCTGGCAGACGAACATGTCAGGGAATACTTAGAAAGAGGGCAGCACCTAATGATGCTCAACATGGTTTCAGAAAGGGTAGGTCCTATGCCCCAAGCATTCTGGCTGCAGGTGATAAGTGGACGGCATTTTGGGACCTCTAGATTCCTGTTCATGTCATTTTCCTGGATTTCGCAGAGGCCTTCGACCCAGTCCCATATACCATTCTTATTCACAAAACAGAAAGGTTGAGCACCAAGGGATAAGTGATTTCATGCTTACAGGACCATCTAGACGGCAGACAATTCTGCAAAAAAACCAACAGAATTTGCCCGACTTGGAGGACATCATCATCTGGTGTATCACAAGGAGCGATCCTGGAAACACTGCCACTCCTTCTTTTTGTGAACGACCTCCCACTGAATCCCAGCTCACCAATTCTACTCTATGCTGATGATGTTAAGTTATGGAGAGCCACGACTTCGGAAACAGAATCAAGTGCACTGCAAAGTGACCCCTGGTAAATTGCAGAGTGGGTGAATATTAATGGACTGGCATTTCATGTAAATAAGTGCCGAGCCATGTTTCCCCGCACCCCAAGCTCTCAAAAAGTACCCTATTTTCTCTGTGGAACACAACTTTCCACACCACCACTAATACTGACTGACAAACTAGACACTAGCTCCAACTGTCCAGGAGATGCCTCCAGAGCCTACGCAGTGCTGAACTCCGTGCGCGGAAAACTGGGTGCCCTGACCCCGGAACTATTTGAAGCTGTCTGAGACCTATATACGATCCCAACTAGAAGTACACAACGCCATTGCACCACCATATCTGAAAAGAGATGCGAATCTCCCAAAGAAAGTTCAAAGGCGAGCTACAAAAGTTGTGGTGGGAATGAGGCGAAAACCGTATCGGGACAGGCTGAAAGATTCAGGACTTTACTCCCTTAGCTACTGTAGATTGCGTGGTGACTTGATAACGGCTTACAAAATACTATGTAACCCAAGTCATCCGAATGGCTGAATCCTACCGAACGCCCGCTATGGCGATCCTCGTGGTAACCCAAGGAGAATCGCCTACCAAAGAGCGGAAACCCGTGTGCGATCATGCATCTCGCTGCGAGTTTGCGGCCACTGGAACTCATTGCCTGCCGAGACTGCTACTGCTCCGTCTGCTGACAGCTTAAAGAAGAGGTTGGACAGTTACACAGCGACGTACGGTTTGCGCTCATCCAACTTGGATGTGGACTAGGCTGACACGACCTACTAACTTGGTAAGGCCAGCCGTTACCGAACACCGTAGGACCAAAGTTATTGGGAACTTGGATCAACTTTATGCCTTCCAATAGACGTCCTCTCCAGTTACCGTCTCCCAGTAAAAGAATTACCATACTCCCATTCATCCTATCATGTTACTTATTCTTCATTCTGACTTTACGTTCCCAAACTCCAACGAAAGCTCTCCCCATCACCCGTTTCCCACAAACCTATCAATATTTCTTCTTCCACACAGTTTCCTTTTCCTAATCTTCTTTTTTCTTCTTTTCCTTTTCTTTAACTATTTGTTTTTCTCTGCACTTTCTCTCCCTTGATTTCTCTGCACATATTTTACGCCTCCTTTTTTACAACCGGTCCGACCAATTGCCTGCTGGCACAACACTTGAGGAACCCATCTGCACCAGAGTCCTCGAAAGAAACAAACAACTGCCTACAAATTTAACCAAAATCCAACCGCCTGTCGGGCTGAACGGAGCTACAGCAGTCGAGTGGGTAGACCTACTGCATCAGAATCCACCAAAGACCTGGAACCGTTCCGCAAGACCTAGAAGCGAGCGCGAGGAAATCAGCTGATTTACACTGGCTCGTAAAAAGATATTTGACACACTAGCTCGTCCACTGCAGAAGTAAACCGAACAACTGGAGCCAAGTACTAAGAACTAGACGCGAGAGGTCAAAAACTACCAGTTTTCTACGCTCGCACTATCAATATTGGATATTGGAAAAGACATTGGATATTGGATTAGAGGTTAATTCGTCGTCAAGGCTGTCGCATTCATCTGTTGTAGCTTAGGTTAGTTGGTTGCTAATGTTCATATCTTTAGCTGTACATCAAAGAAAGTAAATAGTCTTGATTTTTGGCGTGAACTAAACAGTGAGGTTTGAGGGATAAATATACTGAGTCAAAAAATGTCTACATACAAACAAGAAATGCCTCCTCCAGGTGGTTATGCTCCGCTTGATTTCGCAAGGAAAATGCCAAAAAACTACATTCACGGTGAGTGGTTTAAAATGTTGTGTACATGCGTTTTGACCATTAGTGTTTGTGCTCGAGGTACTCCCTGCCAACATTTGCTTCGGGCGCACCTTGGGACTTTTAGGTTTTAGCCCGGAGGAACTTCTGCCGCACTTTCCAAATTTCGAGTGTCCCCTAAATTTTTCAATTATTTCCGTTGGCCGTTTCCATTTGATTGATTTGCAATGCACAAACGCAAGTGGCATTAAAACGTAATCGATGTGCATACGAATGTTACCAAATATGGCTTCTCAGAACTGTGAATATAAGTCATTCCAAAACTTAGGGCCAACTGCCTACACTTTGTGAACTTTGGGCGCATTGCAAACAATTTAGGGGCACTTAGGAACTTTTGAAAGTTTTGGAGCAAATGTTTGAGGACTTCGGGGAATATCGTGCATCTCCCCATCTGCGCCCGAAGTAAAATTTTCTGGTTTTTGCCCAAAACTTTTGCCCAAAACAATGTGCGCCCGAAGCAAATGCTGGCTGGGCTCATGAGACACTTTTTTAATAAATTTCTGTCAAACTACTAAACATGTTCAGAATTGAGTCCATTAAAGTTAAGCACTAGTACTATATTCCCTCTCCGTTCTCGCCTCCGCTTTCTCATCACTAATTTACTGCGATGAAGTTGCTTAAGTTGAAGCATATTGTTGAGTCTGCGTTCATTGAGTCCCAGCTTCTTAGATATTCGTTTAAATGTATGATGACCTGCTCATTCTCATAAAAGTGTGCAGAATAATAGGTTTCTGTTTTTACGTAACCTTTTTTAAATCGCGTAAGCATTAGCGTCAAATCAATTGGTAATAAATCTTCAGCAAATGAAAATAAAAAAACTTAGTTGACTCAATAGGTTAACCCTAGGAATTAATGGAGTGGTCAATTGATCTTGTTTGATATGACCAGAAAGGTAGTTTACGTAAAATGAATATCCAATATCTTTTTAACGGGCTTGTGTAAACCAGTTGATTTTTTCTTGCTCGCTTCTTGGTCTTGCTGAACGGTTACAGGTCTTTGGCGGATTCCGATGCAGTAGATCCAACCACTCGTCTGCCATAGCTCTGATTTACAGAACAGGAAGTTAAGTGTTAGTTTGTTTGCCTTGGACTGTGGTGCAGTTGGCTTCTTCAGATGTCGAGTTGCCAGACAGTTGTTCGGACTGGTCGCTAGAGAGAGTTAGGGATAATGAAGAGAAAACTTAGAAAGTGTTTGTGAGTAAAAGGGGGAAAAAAGTGAACTAGTGGAGTAATCTACTTACACCCAAGTAAGGCGAGGTGTACAAAGGTATGAAGAACTTAGTTAAGTGAGGCTAACTCATGGCAAATGAAAGGGATGAAAAGGGCTTAAATGGTTACAACAGAAAGAATACTGGTTGTGGAGCTAAAATAGTCGGGGTGGCCTGGCATCAGTTCGTGTTCCAGCTATATGTGTGTAGACCATGGGTCTCTGCGTGACTGTCTAGTCTCTTCTTGAAGCTTTCAATAGTTGGGGCGGAGACCATCTCAGCTGGTAGTGAGTTCCAGTACCCGCAGACTCGGAAGGAGAACTGTGAACGCGCATGAGTTTTTGACCTTTAGTGGGCTATTCTCTTGGGGTTTCCTCGAGGATCTCCATAGTGGCCACTTGGTAGTATTCCTCTGTTCGGGCGACTTGGGTTATTCAGTATCTTGTAGGCCATTATCAAGTCACCTCGTAACCTTCGGTAGCTAAGAGAGTATAGACCTAGGTCTTTCAGTCTATCTTCGTATGGTTTTCGTTGCATCTCAACAACCCCTTTTGTGGCTCGCCTCTGGACTTTCTCCAGTAGGTTAGTGCCACTTTTCAGCTGTGGTGGAGCGAAGACGTAATGGACCTCTATGTGGGGCCGTGTGTAAGTCTTGTAGAACTTCAGAAAGAGTTCTGAGGTGAGGGCACCGAGTTGTCTACGCACAAAGTGTAGTACACCATATGCTTTTGAGGCATCACCTGTGTAATTGGAACTGTGTCCAGTTTCTCCGTCACCGTTAAACCCAGGTCTTTTTCTACTGTGGTATGGGATAGACGTGAACCACAGAGATAGTAGAATACTTTCTGGGGATCAGGAGTACGGAAAGACATGGACCGGCACTCATCCAGGTTAAATGCCAGTTCGTTATAAGTTCCCCATTCCTCTAGTGTTTTGAGGTCGTTCTGTAATGCCATAGATTCCGCTTCACAAGTTATTGCCCTCCATAACTTGACGTCATCAGCATATAGGAGAATCAGAGAGCTGATATGTTGCGGCAGGTCATTGATAAACAGTAGGAACAACAGTGGACCCAGGATTACTCCTTGTGAGACACCGGATGAGGATGTTCTCCAAGTTGAGTAGACCCTGTTGACTTTCGTGCAGAACTCCCTATTGTCTAAGTAGTTCTGCAGCCATCATAACACCTGGCTGCGTATGCGTAACCCAGCTATCTTATGTGTTAGGATCGTGTGTGAGACAGTGTCAAAGGCTTTGGCGAAGTCCAGAAAAATTGGGTGGACCGGGACCTTGAGATCCCAGCATGCTGTCCAGGGATCATGGGACGTCAGGAGGTTGGAGGCACAGGACCTACCCTTCCGGAACCCATGCTGAGCGTCACTGAGTGCCTGTTTTTTGTCCAGATATTCCCTGACACGGTTGTCCATCACACGTTCCATAACTTTTGATACTACCGGTAGAAGTGCTATGGGTCTATAACAGTTGGGATTCTGTCTGTCTCCTCCTTTGAAGATGGGGAAAAGGATAGCCCGTCTCCACACTCATGGAAGCTTTTGTTCATCTGAGGAGTGTTGGGAGAGATTACAGAGTGGGCCACTTAGGGTGCTTGCACATTCTTTCAACACAGATGGGCGGATGTCGTCTCACGCTGGGGACTTTCCCGCTCTTAGCTTTGGTAGCCTGTCGAGAACAACAGCGCGAGTTATCTGTATTTCGTGTAACTCCGCAGCATCGGGTAACGTTGGGGGCTGTTCGTGCAGTTGGTATGCGCACTTTCCTGATGGAATGTTAAGCTATGTGTCAAACATGGTGCTCAACACTTCAGCGATCTCCTATCCAGAGAGGTTTTCTCCGTTCGGACCTTTTATAACGCATGCTTCTTGGCTTGTCGATTTTCTCTTTGCCATGATTCGGCATAGGTTTTTTGGGTTTACCTCAAGCCTCTTGGCGAGGTTGGACTGAAACGACCTCCTGTCTCCTCTCACCCCGATATTGCTTCGGTTCCGTAGTCATGCATGCGTCATGGTCGTCCTGTTCTCTGGAGAGTCTTCATGTGTGCCATGCCCTTCTCTTGGCTTTTAGAGGGCTCTCTGTGCCCCGTTTTAGCCATGAGGTTCGCTTTCTGGTTGTTGTTACCGCCAAAGGGACGTTTTGCGAGATGGCCGCCTTAATGATATCTTTTACCAGTTCCCAGCGCTCCTCGACCGATAAGGAACACGAATCCACTGGCCACGGAGCTATTGAAAGGCTTTTGTTCATACCTTCATAGTTTGCCTTGTTGTGACAGAGGTAAGGGTGAGATCCCTCCCATGATAATTTTTCACTGGTCACCAGGTAGAACACTACCATAGCGTGATCGCTACTTCCAAGAGGAGTTTGTACCTGAACTTTTTCAACCAGAAGGTGATCACTAGTCAGTAAGTAATCCAGTTTAAATGGTCTACCATCTGACCCTCAGCGGGTGTTGTCGCTGATTTTTTCCTGCAGTCCAGCCATTTGGATGGCATTTAGCAGGTTACAGTCGAACTTCCGGCTCGAGATCGGGCCACCTTGCTCTAGGCTGAGGGTTAGGGCGTTGAAATCGCCAGCTATTAGAATCTGGTCGTACCCTATAGTTGACACTGTGGATATTACTTGGAGTAGTTTTTGGTTGTGTTCCAAGTTGCTATTAGGGGACCTATAAATTCCTCCAACTAGGAATTTGGTGTGTTTGACCGTGAAGTGACACCAGATAGAGTCTAAAGGCTCTGTCAGCACTGTGTCAGTGGCTTGTTCACTTCTGAACCAACTGTTCACGCATACTGCAACCCCCCTCCGTCCCTATGTTCTCTGTCTCTCCTGAACAGAATCATGTCGTCTACATTAACTTCGGTGTCACTTATGTCTGGTGACAACGATGTTTCTGTCAGGATCATGATTTTCGGGACGAGGTCGAGACAGAGAGATCGGAGCTCTGACATTTTACTTTGGAGTCCTCTCACGTTGCTGTAGAGACACTTGGAGGTGCTTCTCATAACGTGAGATGTCTCTGGCTTAACTAGTGGCACAGGTTTGGATGTGAGGGTTTCTACTGACTGGCTAGTTCCAATGGAACTTGCCCAGTTAAGTTTTTTCCAGCGTTGATTGGTGCACTCTGTGTTGGGTTGAGGTTGTCGGTCTGACTCTCAACGTTTCATAACATATTGTCTGAATGATCTGCAGAGTAAATTTACAGTAAACAAAGTATTTTTTTGCAAGATTTTCGAAGCTTTTAAGATTTCGGATAAATTGTTAGAGGAGTAGGGACTAAGATTTAACTTGGAGGGGGGCCGCATCGCCTGAAAATTAGTATACATCCTCTTTGATAGTTTCTAAGGTCAACAACTTCGTGGTCATAATCGTCTCTTCAGGTACTTTTGGGATTTCCAGTCATCTTTCTAAACGCTTGTCTCTGGTATTGTGTGTTTACGTTTTCGTGAGAAGCATTGTGGCTTCTATGTCGTCTGCCCTTTCAGTGTTCGTTTTTTACGTTACTACCTCAAATTTTGAACATCAACCCATTCATTTCTTCACGCTTCTAGTACTATTATACTTCCCTTTTTTGACTGAAGTTTCACCAGTTTCGACTGTTTGACTAATTCCACCAAAGACTTTCGGCAAACTGCATACTGTCCGCGAGAAAACGATCCTACAGGGTCTATACCGTTATTCACACAATTGGGTACAAATAGGTATATGGTTCTTTCACATCGACAAGGCATATATCTTCGTAAAAGTG